TCTGTGAGAGAGTCAGACAGGATACAGCACTTCATATGTGGTCTCACAAGTGCCAAATGGAGGGGGATTCATCACTTACCTTGTGTGTGCTAGCTATGATCCTGTCAACAGAGCGTAACATGCAGGTAGCTCTCACTGCCATGAGGATGTAGTGTTGATTCTACTAAAATATTCTATAAAATATTCTTTTGGCTCCAGATAAGACAACAGTTAGTTTAAAATACACGTATTTATCATTATCCTTAAAGGTTATGGAAATAACAGTCTGGTTATAGACTCTTTAGAAATGGAAATCTGCTTTCCTAAGTGATATACAGTAATTGAGTTTTAAGACCAGTTAAGTGTTTAGAACAAAGCTGAAGGATGGCTAAATGAATTGGCTGTTCCACACTTGGCCAAAGGATGTCATACAGAGTGAAAATAATGTTAATGGAGGTGTCACAGAAGAAAGCTGCTTTGCAGAATGCACACCAAAAGCTGGAAAAAAAAAAGGAGAGACGGTCTTTGACAAGATCCTCTGTGGTTTTCTTTACATTTCAAAGAGGTGGTAGACAGGGGGAGAAGGAAAAGACATGTATTGTCAAAGAGACGACAAAACTAAGGAAAACGAAAATAAATGGAGAACAAAGGACAGCTAAAAACTGGGAAAGAAGAGGTCAGAGCAGGCTGAAGGTTGTTTAATAAATAACATACAAAGATTGTTATTTTGGTTGTTAATGGAGGAGAGAGAATACAACAGAGCAGAGATATGGGGCTGTCTGTGATCTAATATGCACATGAACCACTTCCTGGTATGTGTAAAGAGAAAATTGAGCCTTGAAGACACTGAACTAATAGCAGAAATTAGGGAGAAAAAATAAAGATAAAAGTACACATCCAATTAAATTTAATTCAGGAATAAGTATAACCTATTGTAACCCAGTTGAAACTGCATTTTTATGCCTCCCTTCTTGCCTTTGTCAAAAGCATGACATGGAGAATGAGTGCTCTGACTTGGTGTATGCCATCATTAAAAGCACCAGGTGCAAATTCTTTAATAACAATGTGAAGAAGCTGCTGCAGCAACAAAGTAAAAATAGCTGAGCATTGGTTCTCCATGTCTTCTCTGGTTTATGCAGGTTAGTTGGAACCAACTGCAAATGTCTCATCTCCTTTTTGGCCAAGAACCAGTAGGGGAGAAAAGCCAGGGATTATTGTGTGACTGCCCTCTGGGAAAATGGTTTTATCAAGCATCCAGATAATGCAGTTACTTCTGTAAATCAAAGTCTTGAAGTATTTGTAGCAGTGCTGGAGTTTTAAATTTGAAGTACTAGTCATGCTGCATTCATCCACTTAGGAGGTTAATCCATTTGCCTGTGTTTTATATAGTTTTAAAAAGAAACAGAATATTCTGCATGAACTGCTTGTATTTAAAAGTATATAATAGTAATAAAATACAATAAAATAAATAACTGTAATCAAATATCAAAGTATGTTTCGTTTCACAGCTTTCAAGTATCTAACTTGAAATGGGGGTGTTATTCCCCATTTGATAAATAACTGAAACAGCCCCTTCAAATATCCTTTGACTGGTATTTTTATAACTGCCCAAAGCCAATATTAACTTATTTTGGGTTGTCTTAGATTTCTGATTTGCCATTAAGTTTCTTCAGGTAGTGAGGAAATATGACTCTTGTGGAGGAGTGTATCATTGCGTCAGAACTTGGCTTCCACCTGGGCTAAGAAAACTAGCTGTTTGTTCCCTAGGGAAATGTGTCTAGAAGGTAACTGTTTTTTGTGTAGTGTACCCTCCTAAATTAAATTTTTTAGTTTAGCTTGGCCTGAAGCAAAACGTTTCAGGATATTTTAGGAGATCCTGGTAATCTAATTAATCTTACGAAAATAATACTAGAATTAGTTCTTTATTTCCCTATCCATAAAGTATATTGTGTCCCCTCCCTTACATAGCTCCATCCCTGCACTGGCAACTGTCAAGTGCATTGTTAAGGGGGACAAAGATGGGCTCGGCCCTGTTCCAAGGGGTGGTGGGAACTGCTGTCTGTTCCACCAGAGGCAGAGCAGGTGGGGTAGCCCTCCTTGTGGAAAAACTCTCCCAAGACCTGAGGACTTACTGTGAAGAAGATGTGAATGCAGTTGACATCAGCAAGTGTTTGCTTCCTGTCACAGTGGCTAAGGCCGTGATTCAGTAGTTGTCTTCAAAACCTGACAAGGCAAGACCAAGGCATCGGGGGTCCATATAGAAGAGTCTCAACAGCCTTTTGGTTCCTGGGGAGGGGGAGTCAGTAACTGAACTCCAGCTGAGAAGATGGACTTCCCAGTCTCCTGCCCAGGGATGGAAAGTGCTGGCAGCTATGGCAGACTGTCACTAATCTAAATACCTTGGGTCAGCATCACTGGTCAGATGGTTGAAAGTTGGTGTTATTGTGGGGTGCTTCCTTGAGTAATATATATTCTGCAGACACTCCAGAGGTTTTTTCCTCTGAAGGTGGAAATGCTGCCACAGCTGTAACAAAAGCTATTCAGAATTGCACAAGGAAAGCACTGAATGCTTCCTACCTTGTTATTTTTATATACCTCTTGGTTTTATTTAATTCGTATTAAGTGTGTTAATGAGTAATTAGAACTGGGACTGGAATGCTATCCTTTTGAATAAGCCATCATTTTGTTTAGATTTTTTTTTTCTCCTAAAATCTATTCATTTTTCAAGGTACTGGAAGGTAAAATATTTTGTTGGCTGCCTTTGCAGAATATATACCCGAATGAATGAGGAAGTAGTAATTTTAGTTAGCACTCTGCAAAAAAAAAAAAAGTGAAGGCAGCACACTGAGTTTAGCTTTCATTTTTATCTGTCATAGATGTAAATAATTCAAACATATAAGCATGGGAAGACTTGAAAGATTTGAAAGTGTGACTGCATGAGTCTCATAGGATTTCCTGTGTGATTTGATTTGACATTCTTTAGAAAAAAATTGTTTTTGCTGAAGTATAACCCAATTAAAAGTTAATGCTGTTTTTCACTGGACACCTATGCTAAACTAGAATGTTCGTGTATTTCATATGTATGCTTATGTAATTAAGCATCCAATAATTTCTTTCACTTTGGGAAATGCTTCTGCAAATCAACACTCCATATATGAATAGTTAAGATCATATCATCTGTTGTTTAAGGTAAGGATAAGGACAGACATTATTATTATTTGATAATAGATTCTTAATCCTTTGTTCTGTGAAGTGTTGATGTTTTCATTAGAGTTAAAATATGTTACATGTTTACAGAAAGCCTGAAATCTCAATATGTGGTCCTATCAATTTTAATTATTTGAATCATTAGAACACCTAATTTTTTGCTTAAGGGTACATGAATGTACCATTGAATCTGTTTTTTAAGGTTTTTTCCAGTTTAATGTCTGAATCCAAATTCATAAAGAGTTGGAAAAATGAGATGTCTGAGCTATAGGATTCACAGGGATTTTATATGAAGCCTATTTAATCAGGATAACACTGTTATTAATATTCATAAAGTCAGCTGGAACACAAATGACAGACTATGGAGCCTAAAATTTTTTACTTGTGAAATTATTAAAAGCAGCTTAAAAAATTAATGGAATTTAAGTAAAGTTGACGAAAATGAAAATCTTATGTTAGCAGAAAAAAATCTTTATTAGAACTTTCTCTAAGACCATCTTGCATTGATATCTTTGACAGATTTCACTGGTACTTAAAGAAGAAAGATGCATGAATGGTCATTTAAAAGGATTTAAACACATTGGCACATTAATTTTTACATGAATAATAAGTAGTTTCCAAAAGCAATTAACTTACAGTGTACAAGATTTGAATAGAAAAATAGGACTGTGACATCAAAGGGCAAAGCAAATGTGCTGTACATTTTAAACTTTTAATAATGCGACTTCTTAAAATAATTAATTTCATTTCCATGATGGGTGAAGTAACAGTGAAGGTATTTGTGTAACAGCTTGGGTTTGTTTTGAAATACACAGAGATCTGGAACAAAGAAATATTTTGATGCCAAAGTGCTATTGGTAAAGAACAATTTCAGGCTTTTACAGTGATCAGGTGCTTTTAAATCGAGCTTCCTTACAGTTAATTTCTGTGTGTGGAAAATAGTCATATACTGACCACAGCGCATGATTTTTCTCCCATGCTGCTGTATGCAGCACTGTGAAGCATTTGTTATTTCTGTAGAGGGCAAAATAGGTGGATCTGGGATTTCTTTCATTAGTAGAAAGGTGTTCGTTAATTTATATTCATATTTGTAGGCAGTTTTGTACTTAAATATTGAGTGTGAATTTTATGTGACTATTGCATATTTTATTCAACAGATACGGACAATTTTTTTTTAGCTTTCTATGTATGATGTTCAAGTAGTAGTTGTAACACTAACACGGGTTGAATAAATAGTTAGTGAATAAGGAAATTAACTCCAGATTTTGGGTCACCATTTAATTTCATATTTTCACCTTTGTCTCGGTCCAGCAGTATACTTTATTTTAATCTCCAGCTTTAATTTCTTTTGATTATTAGGCAGATTGATTATTAACAGATTGTCTTCAAATGAAAGTAAAAAAAAAAGCTTTAAAATAACTATTTAATTTTTTCTGATGATTCCTCCTGGCAAAATGTTCATGGCCATTGTTTGACTGTTGCTGTTGTGGCAAAGTTTAGCACTGTCTGAATAATGATGGTTCAGTAAGTTTTGCTTCTAAAAATACTTTATGTTCAAAGTACCCACTGTAAAGATACATCTTGAATGATAATAAGTGTTGTGCATAAATTAGATGCCTATTGTGGCATTTGTGTTCTGAACAACCGATTTACATACTTAGTGTATGGAATATTTGCTAACATTTTTATTTCTAATAGGGAAAGTGTATTGCAAACCCTAGGGAGCCCCAAAAGGTCTTTCTGTTTGACTTTGACAGATAGGTTGCCTTAATCTGATATCAGCAGTATTTTTATTTTCTGTATGCGTAAACCAGAAAACTCCTGTTAATTAGAGGAACATATTTCACCGATGAGGCCGAAGTCTGTGAAATGAGCCTCTTGACTTCTGTCTCCAATTATTCCTCTGCCACAGTCTATTTCCAGGAGAGGGCAGCATTTTCCTACATCAGGTACATGAAGGCACATGTCCTGCTTAGACTGTCAATGTTTCTTGTAATTACTCCCAGTATATTTGTTGCTTGCTTATGAATTAACTTGCATTTATGGAACTAAATCATTCCAATCATTTAATTACACCTGAGGAGCTGAACTATAATTGCTTGCTTCCAACTAGGATCTGATATGGCTTGAGCAGTATTAATTTGATGTTTACTTTTCTGAGTGCTAAAAGCATTAAAATGATTGTGCAATGGGATTACATTTTACTAATTGCTGGCATTCATTAGCTGGGTAAATGGCGAAGAAGAATGACTGTATATTGTGGAGGGATAAAATTATGGTTTTAAATAGTATATTACTAGGCACATTAAGGCCCTAAGACATGTTTTAAAATACTCCAGAGGTTATTAAATACCGTATTTTCTTCATGTCTTGCTATATGAATATCTTATTAAAATACTGCAATTATTATGAACCTTTTTGTGCAATATGTGGGGAAATGGCTTCATTGACAGAAACCTATTTCTTGATATTAATAACCTTCTATATTTTCAGCTAATCCAAAAGTAAATGAGGAACTTAGGAAAAGATTGCCAACTCCAAATCAACACAGTTACACAGAATTGAAAAAGAAGCGTACAGCTTCATTTGAGGGGCTCTTGTAAGGAACTCAGTGTTCTGCGATATGAGGTGAAGTTGTTATTTTTTTGTTAAGACCCAAGCACATCAAATCACACACATTTTTTTCTTTTGCACATTTATAGATAACAACAAATATGAGCTAAATATGTATTTCTTGAATGCTTAATGTAAATGTTAGTGTGAATCTTAAGTGTTTGCACAATTATTTTACTTTTTTATAATCTCAAAGATAAAAAAGAAAACATCTGCCTTTTGGTGTTGTATAGGAAGATTTCTTCTGCTACTTTATTAGTTAGAATATATGTCTTAGAATAGTATGCTTGAATTTTAAAATGAGTACTTAATTTTTTTTTTTTGAACTCTTACATCAGCACAATGACAATTCTTTATTTTCATGATCCAGCCACTGCCTCTTTGAGGCATATGTTGTATCTTTTTAATAAACGTAGAAAAATTGTAGCAGGGAAACGATACAAAATAAGCACAACTACGTAGTTAAAGATGAAAAATTGTCTTTTGTACAATACATTTTAAGTGATGTTTGACTAAAGATAAAATTTGTCGTAAGCTTACTGTATTAGCAAGATTACTAGTTTATTTAGATTTACTTGAGATATAGAATATAGTTGAATTTTAACATATAAGAGAGCATATATTTTAACACTCAAAACATTACCTGATAAGCATAACATTCTAGTGTAGGTCTTATTGTTGAGTATTGAGGGTTGTTTCCTGAAGATCCTTGATTATATGAAATACTGCAACTGTGTAATTAACTGTACAGACTGAAGCAATATGTATGCAAATATTAGAATGGATTATTTAGCTGCTTAGGAACCTTGCAAATTTAGAGTTGGAGTGGTCATGGGCCACTTTACCTGTATTTTATCCAGGAAATTAAAGCAGGAGAAAGAATGTCACAAAGTGAAGCACATACCACCATCTGTAATAATTACCAAAGTGAGCAGTCTCATTGCCTCTAGTGGGACCACTCAGTGTGATTTGGGCTGTGTTCAGTAGCGCATACTTCCAAGACCAGAGGTGTTACACGCAACAAAAAGCTGAACCAAACCATTATAAAAATAAGATGTGTGAAGAAAAATTATTTTACTGAGAAATATAATTAGCACTTACTGTTAGAGTACACAGTTTATTGTGCTGTTATAAATATTTTTGAATCATTTGTCTTGTAAATTTTCTGTCAGATGAAGGAAAAGTATAGGTGTGTTATAATATATTGTTTCAAGTTTATTTATCTAGAGTTTGCTTTATTTTAGCTCCGAAATCGTCAAGCAAAAACTGGACTCAGTGCCAGATCAAACAAGTTCAGAAGAACAAATGGAGAACTGGTCAAAAGGTAAGGACTTTTAAGATATTAATAAGGAACCTCAGGTGTTGTACCAGTGCTAGGCAGTGACTGGAATGTATTTGTTCTTGCTGATATATGACTGACTGTGGAAGAAAAGAAAAAAAAAAAATACCCACTCTACCCATACAGCCACACACTGCCTCTTAAAAGTATTTGGCGTAACAGGAGAGCGGCTACAGGAATGTAAATCAGCAGCTTTATTTTTATTTTCTGCGTTACTGAAAATATTTTTGTATAACTTTGAGAAGTCTTGTTTAACATTGCACTTTTCTTTCCAATCATTTTTACTTAATGGGTTAACAACAAGCCTGAAGTCTGTTTTTAAACTAACTTTCTTGGCTATTCATGCCTGGCTACAGTATGATTAAGCCTTCTACTGATACAAACGAGTGTCTTATTATTGTCTCAACTGATTATAGACAGTAAGGTAGGCTTGGAGGTAGAGGGGGCCTTGGTTAACTTGGAACTTCCATGGTTCATGGAGTTTTCATCTCTGTTAGGATGAGAGGATCTTGTTGTATTTGAATGACCAAAATTTTGCTCTCGGATACACTCTTCTATGTTTCATGGCAGAGCACGTTATGTGACTGACTCACTTTACAGAAGAGAATTGTCAGAAAGTGGCTTGTGACTAGATAATAATGTGTAGATTGAAGAAAGGGCAAGACACAGGGAGCAGACCTTCAGTACATCGTAAAAGGGTGGATTTTTTCCAGTGATTGTGTGTAGGTTAAAAAAAAATAGGTGTCAGCACCTATATCAGAGCCTGATAACATATTGTGTATTTCCTTTTTTTCAATTTTATACTATGTATTCTTTCTCAAAATATAATAAATGTCAAGTGTCTTGTGAACAGTTGGTTGTTTGGAAGAAAGAAGAAATAGTTTGTCTTTGGAGATGATGCGTGTCTTACATATGTAAAGGAATTTCTATTTATATTGTTGTGTAAAATAAAGTACTTGTAAAATTCCTTTTAATTCATGGAATTTTGAGCTATTGCTGAGTGAAGTTAAAAATGTTTTGCATCATGTACTCTGAAAACAAAAATAGTCATGGTGGAGTAACTTAGTGGAGAACTGTATTCTGACAACTTATACTTTACATGTGTAATGGCTTAATCAGATTTAGTATTTTTAGACCTTTAGGGGTCAGCATACCCTAAGAATGGTTCAAAAGGTTAACTTTGCCAAAGTAGGCAAGTGAATACCATAAACTGATTCTCTGTGAAATATTTTCTGTCTAATTGCAAGGAATGGTGGTGTTCTGCTGCTCACAGATACTTTAAAAACTGGGTAGTTACTGAGTTTCATGTGTATTATTTTTCTGATGCATTAAGTTAATATTTTCGTGCTGTTCAGAAAGTTATTTCTTCCAAGCTAACACTTACGTATTTCTATATCAGTCATTAATAAGTCACATAATTCTTTATGCTTTTACTCCTAGGGAAGTTAAAAAAAGGGATTAAGGATAAATCTTCTGTCATCATACTGGTTTGGATGAGGAATTTTTTTTCTTAGAATTTTATTTGGGTATTAACAACTCAATTACATTTTCCTATCTTAAAGATAATAGATAAAACACAGCAACATAATGTTCAGTATGGTAGATATTCTGGTGCATTTTCTCATTGAACTACTAAATCAAAGCAACTTTTAATTGTCTGTTTAAATGTCTATGTTGAAGTGTGTACTGTTTTGTGTTCTGCTTCCTTTGTCATTTGTGGTAACTTCTGTTTTTGCGTCTGGTACTGTACTGTATCTAGTTGTTCCTTGCTTGTAACCTGGAAGTTTAAAAGCTGTTTTTAGAACAACCTGGTAATGATTTATTCAAATATTTTTTTAACATACTGAGATGTTGGAGATTAAATAATTTGTCAAAAAATAAGGCTGGTAAAGCACGTCTGAGATTAAATTCAGCTGACTAGATGAAAATTCAGCCAAGCAACGAGAATTTAAAAAAAAAAAGCAGAAATGTTAAGTACAGAGAAGTGATAGGTTTATGGCAGTTATGTAGGATAATATGTAACCTGTTAATAGATGTTATAAAATAAAATACTTCAAAGAAAGGCAATGTTTAAGATGACTGTTTAATCTGAAGTGTTTGATAGTTGAAATTTCTTTTTAACTTTCTCTGTTTGGGATATAATATGCCTGTCTGGATTGAAGACATTTGTCTGTCTCTGTTTTGGTATATTAGGAAGAGTTAAAGAACAGTCTATGTGAAGGCTCATTATTTTGAGGTTGTATCTAATTTAAATGTACTGTTTATCTCCACAGCACCTAGTTTTTCATAGGATATTGACTTTTTTTCATTTCTCTCTTAAGAATACCTGAAAAAATGTATCAGGAGCATTGGCAGCAGGCTAGTGAAGGCTCTAATTTCCAAACAAAAAATACTCATGGTCCAAGCTAGAAAGCCTAGGATAGTAGTCCATTATAAAAATAAAACTTATATTGGCTAATAAGTACATATCTTTGCATTGCAGTGTCACGGGGGCTGGGAAGTAGTGGGAAGTACACTGCACCTAGGTGGAGTTGTTAATTTAGCAGAGTTTACATGCATGACGAAAACTGCACAAAACATTAATACTGTGAAAACACAAGACAGAACCTGAAATCGGGTGCTTTTCATACTTACATATACATTCAGGACTTGATATGTCAATTTTCCAAAAGAGTTAGCAGGATAGGCAAGTGGTAAGTGTGCAAATACTGGAGTTAAACTTGTCTTATTTGACTCATATCATGTACTGTGTTTGAATGGGTGCAGCTATACTTGTTCTGTATTATATAGCCTTTCACTATTGTAATGTTTTTGCTTGTGTCATGTTTCTGAGCATCTATGACTTTTAAAGACAGGGAAGAAATTAGGTGAAGTCTTAGAATATCAAGTACTGTTTGGTCTGTTTTGACAACAAAATTATAATTTTGCTGACTCCAAAATAAAAACATTGTATAATTATTATTTGGAGTTTCCTAAAACAAGGTAATTGATTGATTATTTTTAATAGCAAAGTGGTTTGCTTTCTTAAAGCTGGTTGTTATATTTTTCAAGCATAGAAATAAATATGTTTCTAAACCATTACTTAAAGCACATATGGAAGGTAAGTCAATGAACTAATTTCACCTGTAAGAATTGGATGTCAGCTGTTAGTTATGATCCATATAGACACTTCCACTGTAACTTGTTATCCTTCAAAAGAATGTTTGGGCAGCTTGTAAAAATACTTTAAAATTGCATGTCTGCAAACTGGAGTTCAAAGGAGACCCTAGCTTTAAAGAGATGTGATCATGTAGATTGGAACAGAACTGCAGAATCAGCTTGTGCAGGGAAATTTGAAAAGTGTTTTATCTGGTGGTGAGCTGGTGTTTTCCAGTCTTGTTCCCTTCAGGAGAAGTAGAAGAGGAAAACAGATATGCAAACCTAATGAACAAGTTATGTATATACAGCTGCTCAGACACATGTGAATGTGATAAGCTTATGCATAGACGATTGTCTTAATTGCATTGTGTGTTCATGCATTGGTCTTGCATGAATGCATGGTGCTTACTGTTAAGAATCTGGCCATAGCTTTCCTTGTACTGGCATGGTCATGATATGTGTATATGCCAGTGTATTGCTTACAAAAATATTTTTTACTTCTTTTGCTGTGTAGTGAATAATATACAGGAGATAAAACCTCTCTAGAAATATTTTTGCATTTATTTAGTCCCACTTATAAATTCCATTAATTGTCAGCCACCCCTTTCAATTTCATGGTAATTGAGGCAATGTACAGTCATAAGCATTGGTTAAGTAAAATGAATCCTCTTGAAATGAAACTCTAGCTCCTCACCATATATTTGTAGACTATCTTATTAGAAGTAGTAAGTTTTTCAGTTGTTTAATGATTTTAATGTGCTTTTTTGTGGGTTTCAAATAGTAATTACAAGGTCTTTTTGTCTGGAATGACTATTGTGTCTTTAACACACGTTAACACCTACACACACACAAAGATGAAGGGGTGAAGAAAGCTTTGAGAGTAATGTGGTGTTGTAAAGATTTTTCATCTGATGCTCTAGTTGGGTTGAAAAGCAACTAGTTGTAAAGGGGCTGCTTCCCCTTTCTCGAGAATACACCCATTACAGCTGTAAACACTGTAAAGTAAATCTGAAGCCCTTCTTCCAATGCTTCAGTAGAGGCAGAATAAACCATGCTTGTCATATTGAAGTCTGTTTCTTTTTACGTGCCTCAACAGGAGATAGTGTGAGACTGTTCTTCCTCTCCTTCCTTCTTTTAGCAATAAGGAACGCTGTTTACCTGGGAAAGAAAAACGACCTGGATATTGCTTGGGTGTGTATGCAGAAGAATCTATGTGATATACAGAGAGGCAGCGTCCTCTTCATGCATGCAGCTCAATTGATAAGTGTCTTCCATGTGTGCTGTGCTTTCAGCATCGAACTCGCTGTGTGCTAGCTATCAGAGATCCCCTTGCAAAGCGGGAAGGGTAGTTGCAGGTTTCCCTGCACAGCATAGGAGGCAGAAGAGAGTAACTGTTGAGCAACACTAAGCATGGAAGATGAAGGAAACATCTTGCGTGGAAGAGGAGGGAATAGTGTGCCATGACTTAGAAGATAAAAAGGAGCTAATGATAATTGAAAAATCATCAATATTGTCTGGTCTTTCCTGTAAATATAATCACCCTTTCATGCATATAAATTCTCATGTCTCCTTTTTCCATCCCATTTCTTTCCTTGCACATTTTGAATGGTTAAATACAGTGCATTTCTGGCCAGGCTACATGCAGAAAGATTCCTCATCAGAAGCATAATTAAGTATCCAGTATCTGCCTGACTTATTGGAGTGTTATGAATGTGATTTTTTTTTTTAGACCCTTTACAGTACACTGAAAATGTGTAGTGCCTTATCTTGCACCAAGTATTGCAAGCACTAAAGATGGAGAGAATGTGCACTGTGAAGTATTGCACTTTGAATCGCTTAAGTGTTTA